AGCTTTCACAATGAATTGTTGCATCATTTTTACGCTTAAAAATTGCGATTCGTCAATTCGTCTTTAGACGCTTTGTCCACACATCTCTCTTGCATAGTTTAGGCGTGGCATCAAATTTTTCTCGACGCTCAATGACCGATATCGTATTAAGTATAGTAATCTCGAAAATGATTGGTAACAGAAGTGATCGACCATTCAGGGTCTTGTGGCAATGTTTGCTTTTTTGAAAAAAGTTCAGAAATCGAGTAAAAATCTATATTAGGTGAAGAACTCCATTTTTTCCCGTTTTCGCAGAAAATTAGAAAATTTGGAACTCAATCAGACTCGATGCAAACTACATCAGAATATCAAGCTATGCTCCATTTTATCTGTTCAATCGGATTCTATGCTTAAAATTAGTAAAAAATGTTGTCTTACTTTTGAAGTTTCTAGAAAACCTTAAAACTTGAAAGGTCTACTTTTTCGAAAAACGCCGATGATTTTCAAGTTATTCAATTTTCTTCCTTTTTCGTTCTCTTCAAGTTTTCAACCTATTTTTTTCTGATTTGTTATTGAAAACTGATTCTGAAAATGATGCTGAATTAATTGTGAAAGCTTTAGCTTTTCGGGATTTGACCAAAAACTTTAGCCAAAACCCTATCAGTCGAAGCGATACTAGGTCGTTTTGTAAACTTATCTAGTTTTTTTTGTGAATAGTTGTAGACAAAAACTGAGAATTACAAGCAGAATTCTGATTTTTTCGCCAAAGTTCCAGTGGACGCGAAATTTCTCAGCAAGGAAGAAAAGTTTTAAAAACCTGATATATACTTTTGTGGCTCGTTGTCAGGCGAATAACATGACAAGTTTGGCTACAACTATTTACGAAAAAATAGATATTTTTTACCAAACGATCTGGTACCGCTGCGACAGGTAGGATTTTGGCTAAAGTTTTTGGTCAAATCCCGAAAGGCTAAAGCTTTCACAATCAATTCAGCATCATTTTCAGAATCAGTTTTCGATACCAAATCAGAAAAAAATAGGTTGAAAACTTGAAGAGAACGAGCAAGGAAGAAAATTAAATAACTTGAAAATCATCGGCGTTTTTCGAAAAAATGGGCCTTTCCAGTTTTAAGGATTTTTCGACATGAAAAGAATGTTTTGGACAGTTAAAAGCAGGTTTTTCTTACTTATCTCGATGCGCTCTTTCTAATAATGTATGATTCAAACAGATCAAAGTTTTTGCTCATCATTTGAATTTCTGGCAGCTTACAAAAAGAAATATATTTCTTGTGTATTCTGTGAAATTTGACTTTTTTGTGGACAAAAACCACAAATCTTGATTGATAAGTGATTTGTTATGAATTTATATCGCGTAAAAACAGACAATATGAATGAAAAATGACGTACAATATCGCTCTTTATCAAAAAATATGATATTAGGGACTGCAGATATTTTTACGGTTTTAAAAATGAGATAATTAGGATCTGTAGTGATTTAATGTTTTCTTATAAACTCAACACAGAAGATCTATGGTGAATTTCAGTTTTAATTGATTATATGATTGATTACAAAGATCAGGAATAGTTTATAAAATCTTTCTCTCAACCGATTGCTACTTTGAACTGATGAATGTAATAAACTGACTCCTGTGCTGGGCTTACCTGTTATTTAGCTAGTTGTGAGAAAAACGTTTCGTCCTAAATTGTGTGTATGATCCACGATAGCAGCACAGTATGCTATTTGAAACAAAGTGAGACATATGTACGTCTCTTTTTCAGCCATCGCTCACCACGCCTAAAGCCCATTAACCGCAGAATCAACCAGAAGCCTGATGTATTAATTATGTATTTCGACTGTGTAAGTGCATCCAATTTTCGTCGAAAATTGCCATTAACTATGAAATATTTGAGTGAATTGTATGATCGTCAAAACGATGAGAATGATTCTCCAAATTATTGTGTTTCTGAATTTATTCGTTATCATATCGGTGGTATGAATACACGTCCAAATTTACAATTACTTTTATGTGGTGATAATGAAAAATCTAACGAACTAGCATGTGCACCACACAAATTTCTGCCAAATATATATCGACAAGCTGGATACATTACCAATTTTATTAATAATGATTGTTGCGATTATCCATCGGCTTATTTAATTAATACAGAAAATTTTCGTTATGATCATGAGTTAACTGGATGGAGTTGTCATCCTGATTATGATAATTATGGTCAATGGAGTAATACCATTGGACCATATTCAATGAATAAACGATGTATAAATGGTAAATTCGTTCATTCTTATGTATTTGACTATTTATATTCATTTATTGATCTATATTCTACACAAAAATTAAATCTTCCTCACTTAACTTTTGCATCATTCACTGAAGGCCATGAAGGAACTTTGGAAGTATTATCATCTGTAGATGAAGAATTATCCAAATTTCTTAAATATATGACACAACGAGATCCATCAAATTCTCCTTGGATTTATATCATTAGTGATCACGGTTCCCATATGGTGAGTGACAATGGCCTTATTACAGATTAGTCTTCAAAAATGACTGATCTCATTCAAATTTCACGCAAAGTCAATGTTATATTTATGATTTCGAGAAACTGCCGAGAAAATCCTTGAAGGGATAGATTTCTTTTAACTGAAACTATATAAGACTGCGGATAGTTTTTAACGTTGATCGTTGCCGTTCCGACTGATAGAACTTTTCTGTGCTGATTTCCTCAAAACGGGTTTTCGACAGTTCAAGTTTTTTTCCGCATAGTGAAATCTCGATCTATTCGGCCTAAGTATGTCAGTCTACGTCTAATGCCAAAAAGAAATATTTTGACGATGATATTTTCAAATCAACCACAATTAATGTGACGAAAAAACTGTGAGGGTACTGAAAGAGAAATAGGAAAATGGCGGAATTATTTCCCGGGCAGATAAAGTCAAAAAACTATTTACCAAGCTCTCATTTGCACATAGATAGATAGTTGAGATGCCCTCTATTTGATGCCGCCAAAAATAAAGCTTCAAAATCGGATTAACCGGGTAGTAAATTGCTCACAAAATAAGCGACCAAAACCGGTTTTAGAAAATCAAAAAAAGATTTTGGCTTCCAGACATGAAAATCAACGACGCATTTTTTAGAGAATTCGATTTTCTATCTTATAGTATGGTATAGTTACCAGAATTTTTGAAAAAAATGTCTCGGTCAGGAAATTGAATTTAAAATTTATAAATTTTTAAATTTAAACTGTCACTATGAAAATTTAACATTAATTTGTTCCTCAGTTCATTCGTATTCAGCGCGAAAAACTGCGTCTAATGATGTATTTCTAACCTTCGAGTGAAAACAAAATTTGAACCTGCTGATCCGAAACTGTGTCTGAGCTTTCGTCAATTCGCGAATGTGCACTGGATTCTCACAGTTTGGCGGAAGTTATATCGGTGTACCTCTCGATTTCCACTTCGACTGTATACCATAGCTAAGTCGTACAGAGTCCGGACAAATTAATCAAGTTTTTCATATACTGATCTAAGTAGAACATGTTAAAAGGCAATAAAGAAATTATAAATATGTACGAAATATAAATGTTTTTAGAAAGTTTTAGAAACTTATTTGTATTGAGACTTGACAACTTTCTAAGATGTTCTTTTAGGGACCTCATTATGAATTTACAACAGCAGGTCAAATTGAACATAAATTACCCGTTTTGTATATGTTAACTCCAAAGTCTGTTCTACAAACAATATCAACATCTTCTCGTTCAATCAGCAACATGCTCGATTATCTTAAATCAAATTCGAATGTACTCATCACCAGCAAAGATGTTTACCATACATTAAGAATATTTGCGGAGACTGTTTCAGAATTTGATATTGAACAATCGATAACAACAGCAGCAACATATGAAACATTATACAATAATTTATCCTTATCACGTAATTGCAAAGACTTGGGAATATTAAACAAATACTGCGCTTGTATTAATAATAACTCCTGATTAACAATTCACCATGCGATATGATGAGCAACATTCCATAAGTTCAGATGTTGATGAATTTTTGTTTCTGGATTAAAATTCTCTTCTGAAACATGGTCAAAGCAATCTTCACATACAAAAATATGGCGTAAACAGTTCATCAACTCCTCTCTTGATTGAGCTGAAAGTCGAAGCATGACCTTGGGTAGGACATAGTCTAGAATCATCAACATCACACAACCGATTTGTCTAGAATAATAAGCATTATGTCTCAGCCAATTTTCCATTATTGACTGAACAGTTAAATGGTTTTTTCAATGTAATAAAAGATATTGTAGCATCTTTCGTTTGTATTAGTAGAATGTAGCATCTTAAAACTTGTCTTGCTTTCGAAAAGAAAATTAGTGTAGAGTAAGTCTGAAGGAGAGTACTGGAAGAAAAAAGAATTGGGTTCTGGATCACTATAGAAAAATACTAATGGGCTACTGGTATCCATCGTCTCTCCTAAACACAGGCAAGCCACATTTTTGATAATAGTTCATGTGTATCGCAAAATCAGAATCTCTAAACACCCACAGTCCAGTGTTGGGTACGTGTAAGGGTTATATCGATATAACCCCCAGATATTAGCTACAACGAATTTGAGGAAAGATTTAAATACCTCAAGGAGTTTCCAATCTGATCTATGGCAGATAAAGGTTCTTCAGTAGTTTCTCGAACTCAGGTCTCTGAAAAACCTAAACGCTAGAAAACTAAGTCCACGAATTCTCGTGATACCTTTCTGCAACGTCCTCATTATGTACCGAAAAGATTTCTGACCAAATGAAAAAAGCCCCTGAGCTCTCAGCAGCACTGTTTTATCAAACAGCACTCAGTTAAAGAAAGATCCCATATCACCAAATTAATCAGAAAACTGTTTTTCATCTTTTTCCATAAATCTACCAAACTTAGGATTTGAAAGAATACGTTATACCTCATTCTGTAGCCCTTTCAATTCTGCATCTTTCTACATACAAACTATGCTAAATCTCTGTCTGTAGCAGAAACTATAATCATTTTTATGTGCCACTATACGACAACAGTCAAGATACGTGTCAAGTATTTGTCCAATACATCTACCAAGACAAACTTTCAAAATAATTTAGTCTACCTCATTTTGTAGCCTGCACAATTTTCTATCGAACTATAAAGTAGAGTGGTTAACGCGAAAAAAAGTGGATATTATAACCATAAACGACGCTGACCCACCGGTTTGCTGAGATGCTACCGAGTATTTCGAATCTTAGACTATCCAGTTACATTTTCCTCTGTCTTATACATCATTTCGTAGCCTGTAAATGTCTATCGAATGATACATAAAGTGGAGATTTAGCATAGTTTGTGGTAGCTTCTCAATATCGCCGCATCTTCAATAAGAGCACATTTAACGAAAATAGGGATAAAATCTTCAATTATTCATAATTAATTCTTAATTAAAACAAAATGACTAACTTGCTAATGTGGTCGAACTTGTAGTACTTCCATGTGGATATGTTACAAACCCAAACCCAAGCGATTTGGGTGTATTGGGTTTGGGTTTGGGTACCCAAGTGTAAGACTTGGGTTTGGGTCAGTTGCCAAAGTACATTAATATTCTTCTTCAATGAAACTTAGCAGTAGTACCTTACGCTCTTCTGCCATACTATTCATTTATCTTTTTCTCTTCATCGTCGCTGTTTTCGCTTTCAAAACTTCACTTTTTTTCTTTGGTTTTCCCTATTCTTTTATATCATTTTTTATAGTGTTCACCGATCATTTGTTAACATATTTGTGGCATGTTACCAGTGCTTATTTTTTTAGTATTCTTCTCTGTTTCAAGGATGAGGATGATATGAACAAGATAAGTAGAATAAAACATTCAACTGTTAGATATTTGAACTAATCCAAAATGAGCTCTTATCGTTAGCATTAGGCATTACGTATGCCCACAGGCCGAAATAAACATCTTACATCCTGTTTTCTCAAAGAGCCACAACAAAAGAAGGTATCTCAGTTAAAAGGAGTCCTTTAATAACCCAAGTCTGACCCAATATCCAAACCCAAGTCTCAGACTTGGGTACCCAATATCCAAACCCAAGTCCAGACTTGGGTTTGGGTTTGTAACATACCTACTTCCATGCTTCATTGTATCTAAGTTAACAAATGTAATGATTGATTTTGACTATGATCAACTGGAAATAAACAGTCATAAGAAAAGTATGACTTTCTCATAGAACGATGATGTCTTTTTTACCTTGAGGCAGAATCGTTCTTGGATGTTTCTCTGATGTTAGACGAGCACAGGAGATTGAATTGCGGATCTAAATTACATGAAGATAATGAAAATTAGAATATCTATATTGCTTGCACTATCTGTGAATACATACAACTGTCAATGGCGTAAATACTTGATTATACCTGGATACATTTGACTGAGATAAGTGCGTTGCTAAAAGAAAAGATTATCTAACAGAATAAAGTTAAACAATTAAACCGATAATAATGATTGTGATTGCACACCTTGTGAAGCAGATCTAACCACAATTATTTTAGGTCCTTGTAATTTGTAGTCGATGTGGTCGTTGACAATAGAGATAACGGTGGTGATGGACAAAATTTCGATTCGGGAGCTGCTCCATCTCAGACAACCACGAAAAGCAAGGAATTTTACGATAAGAGTTTCTTATAAGCTCCTTTACTTACCATTTAATATTCCAACTTTAAGTGTACTTGTCTCGCGTTCTTTTGTTGCATGAATTTCAGTTTCTAATTGTGAGTGATTTCATTTTCAACAGGTGAATCTGGTGTCATCACTTGCGTACCTTCATAAGTTCCTGTTTTGTTTAATTCATGACTTTCCTTTTCATTATTCTTTGTCTGATTTATTAGTTTTGTTTCTTTTCTTTTGGCATATTTACGAGTATTTCTAATACTTTCTGATATCAGACTAGACAAATGACTCTAAAATTAAAACAAATGAATTCTTTTCTGACAAACAACATAAGTGGAACCGATGGAAAACTGGTCGAACAGATGAAAAAAATTTAGTCCGACAAAATCCAGTTTTCAAAAAAGCTGTTATATAAGAAATCATGTGGCTGTGATACTCTCTGTCAATTTTCGTTGTCAAGAACTCTTTTTTAAAAGATTGCTCGTTCAATTCTCTACAAAATCTATATAGAGCAATTTTTATATATTGTATAAAAAGACGGATATGGATTAAACATCGCGAAGCTTCAGTCTCCGTTACTTTCTAATCCGCACATATTCTTAAAAGAATTCAACTAATTAATATAACATCATACTTAAAGTAGTTCTTTTTCTTCTTTTTCTATGTGTGTGATGCAGTATATATCGGTCTGTTCACGTAACAGTCGCCTTTTCGTGATTCCGTCACGATTTTTGTCGTTTTACGAGTCTCGTGGCGCTCGAACAAAAGGAAACTCAAGGACCGTTTACATCTAGTCTTGTAGAGAAAAGTGAGCTGAACAAAATGTGATATTTTCTGTTTCCGCGGAGTGTCGTGGTTCTCAAATGTAACAAAAGTTTTACGAGCTCCGTTTTGGCGAACTTTTGATCGGGGCTCGTAAAAATTTTGTTGTACTTGACGACCACGATATTCTGCGAAAATGGAAAATATCACATTTTGTTCAGCTCACTTTTCTCTACAAGACTAGATATAAACAATTCCTTAGTTTCCTTTTGTTCGAGCGCCAAGAGACTCGCAAAACGACAAAAATTGTGACGGAATCACGCGTTACGTGGACAGGCCGATATACATATATCTATGTTTATTTGAAAGATAAACGCACATGTCATGGGTCAGTTTGATGTTATATAGCTAATGGGAATCCCAATACGATAAGACAAAAAAAATGTATTCATTTCTTGTTTTTTGCATAAAGGCATAGTCTAGTTACTGGTCTCTAGCTGCTAAATTGGAGAAATCGTTGAAAGATCGTATGCTTTTTGTCATTATGACATCATCGGTGGCAGGGGACATTTCCGAGAATAACTTTCTATTAGGTTCAGTTGAGAATAAACATAAAAAAATCACAAAAACGTCACAAGAAACCGTAAACGCAACGGTATTTCTGGCACAGAAAAGCGTGTTTTTAGTACAGATTGCTTAAAAGATCTCAAATATTCTGACTTTTTACAAGAAGTTCGCCATAATCAGAGTTGCCAGCTACTCAGGTCAGAAATGCGGAATAAAAATTCCAAAATGAGAAAAATTTTTGTCAGATGCGGAAAAAAACGGAAACGCATTTTCATGGCCTAACTTCAACCGTTTTCGCGCACAGAGAATCAAAACAATGTTTTCTCTAGCACTTTGTGGCTTTACTCAATAAAACACAAGAAAACAAAAAATAGAAATGTAACTTTCGACGTATGAATTACTGCACGAAATCGAAAATATAGGCAAAACTAATTTGTGCATGTTTGCAGCTGGCGTTGATTTTACAGAAAAAAATTTTAAATCATATATGAACAGGAAAAAAGCGTCAAAAGCAGAAAATGCTTAAAATGCGGACAGCGGACAAATCGCGGAAAAAACTCTAAAATGCGGACCATCTGGCAGCTCTGACCATGATTCTACTAAAGCACGTTATTCATCGTATAATTGTGACATACTCCCAGGTCCAATGATTAGATAACAAGATCTTGGAAGATCTTACAAGATCATATACGATCTTGGGTGATCGTATAATAAATCATAAGATTTCAAAAGATCTTATCAATTCTTATCAGTTTTCTATAAGATCTTACAAGATTTCATATGACATCTTGTAGCAAGATTCTTATAAGATTTTACAAGATTTTTCTTATCATAGGAATGTACAAGATCTTGTATGATCTTATAAGATCTTACACAAAG